GGTGGTACTATCATTACTATCTTATATCTTTTGGCATGAACATGTGTATCACTACGATCGAGATTCAATAAACCATTCATTTTAGGTGCAAGACCATTGAAGGTATTATTCAAATAAACAGAGTAACCATTATTCTCCTTAAATGAACAACGTATTGCGATAAACATAATCCAATCATGTCTATGCTCAACGCAAACACCAAATAACAATTATTTAGGTTTAACACCAATCCCGATGGTAGAGGGAGCGTGCGATGTTTGATAACATCAACCTTGGAAATACTTCCAACACATATCGTCACCTCGCCTTCAGCTAGTCTTTGTTTATTTTGTAGCCTTTTATTTTGAGTTACTAACACTTAGCAACCGAACCGGTATCTATTACCCTGGTGCTACTAGGAGTACTAGTAAAGTACACATTAATATAATGTATATCCAATATACTTCTGTCGACCTTGCCAGCCTTCTCATCTACCAAGTATCTAGGGTAGTTCTGCTTCAGTGACCGTTCCCCTCATTACAGAAGCACTTAGTCTCGGGTTTGGGTTCAAACTTTGGGTTTCTTCACTAGAGCAGCAACTGATTTGCCGTTTCATGAAGTATCCCTTCTTGTCCTTGCCCTTCTTGAAACTAGTGGTTTCACTAACCATCAACAATTGATGCTCCTTCTTGATTTCTACTTTCGTAGTGTCAAACATCGCGAATAGCTCAAGGATCATCATATCTATCCCTGATATGTTATAGTTCATCACGAAGCTCTAGTAGCTTGGTGGCAATGACTTTGGAGAACCATCACTATCTCTTAAGGAAGATTAAGTCCTACTCGATTCAAGTGATTGTAATACTCAGACAATCTGAGCACATGCTCAACGATTGAGCTTTTCTCCCTTAGTTTGCAGGCTTAAGAAACTCGTTAGAGGTCTCATACCTCTTGACATGGGCACGAGCCTGAAATCCCAATTTCAGCCCTTTGAACATCTCATATGTTCCACGACGTTTCAAAATCGTCTTCGGCGCCTCAATTCTAAACCGTTTAACATTGCTGAACTATCACGTAGTCATCAAAACGTGTATGTCAGATGTTCGCAACATCCACAGACGATGTTCGAGGTTCAGCACACTGAGCGGTGCATTAAGGACATAAGCCTTCTACATAGCAATGAGGACAATCCTCAGTTTATGGACCTAGTCCGCAAAATTGCTACTATCAACTTTCAACTAAATTTTCTCTAGGAACATATCTAAAATAGTAGAACTAAAGCGCAAGTTACGACATAATTTGCAAAGACCTTTTGACTATGTTCATGATAATTAAGTTCGTCTAATTTAATGAACTCCCACTCAGATGGACATCCCTCTAGTCATCTAAGTGATACATGATCCGAGTCAACTAGGCCGTGTCCGATCATCACGTGAGACGGACTAGTCATCATCAGTGAACATCTTCATATTGATCGTATCTGCTATACGACTCATGTTCGACCTTTCGGTCTCTTGTGTTCCGAGGCCATGTCTGTACATGCTAGGCTCGTCAAGTCAACCTAAGTGTTTTGCTTGTGTAAATCTGGCTTACACCCATTGTATTCGAATGTTAGAATCTATCACACCCAATCATCACGTGGTGCTTCGAAACAACAAACCTTCGCAACGGTGCACAGTTAGGGGGAACACTTTCTTGAAATTTTATGAGGGATCATCTTATTTATGCTACCGTTGTTCTAAGCAAATAAGATGCAAAAACATGATAAACATATCATGCAATCAAATAGTGACATGATATGGCCAATATCATTTTGCTCCTTTTGATCTCCATCTTTGGGGCGCCATGATCATCATCGTCACCGGCATTGACACCATGATCTCTATCATCGTGTCTTCATGAAGTTGTTTCGCCAACTATTACTTCTACTACCATGGCTAACGGTTTAGCAATAAAGTAAAATAATTACATGGCGTTATTCAATGACACGCAGGTCATACAATAAATTAAGACAACTCCTATGGCTCATGCCGGTTGTCATACTCATCGACATGCAAGTCGTAATTCCTATTACAAGAACATGATCAATCTCATACATCACGTATATTTCATTCATCACATCCTTAGCCATATCACATCACACGACATATGCTGCAAAAACAAGTTAGACGTCCTCTGATTGTTGTTGCAAGTTTTTATGTGGCTGTTATAGGTTTCTAGCAAGAACGTTTCTTACCTATGCCAAACCACAACGTGATATGCCAATTGCTATTTACCCTTCATAAGGACCCTTTTTATCGAATCTGATCCGACTAAAGTGGGAGAGACAGACACCCGCTAGCCACCTTATGCAACTAGTGCATGTCAGTTGGTGGAACCTGTCTCACGTAAGCGTACGTGTAAGGTTGGTCCGGGCCGCTTCTTCCCACGATGCCGCCGAATCAAGATAAGACTAGTAGTGGCAAGTAAATTGACAAAATCGACGCCCACAACAACTTGTATTCTACTCCTGCATAGAAACTACGCATAGACCTAGCTCATGATGCCACTGTTGGGGAACGTAGCAGAAATTTAAAATTTTCTACGCATCATCAAGATCAATCTATGGAGAGACTAGCAACGAGAGAGAGAGAGAGAGAGGAGTGCATCTTCATACCCTTGAAGATCGCGGAACGGAAGCGTTACAAGAACGCGGATGAGGGAGTCGTACTCGTGGCGATTCAAATTGCGAAAGATCCGATCTAACGCCGAACGGATGGCACCTCCATGTTCAACACACGTACAACCCGGGGACGTCTTCTCCTTCTTGATCTAGCAAGGGGAGAGGAGAAGTTGAGGAAGAGCTCCGGCAACACGACGGCGTGGTGATGGAGCTTGCAGTTCTCCGACAGGGCTTCGCCAAGCACTACTGAGGAGGAGGTGGAGTTGGAGAGGGGGAGGGCTGCGCCAGGGGCAAGGGGTGAAGCTCTCATGCGCCTCCCAACTATATATAGGGGTGGAGGGGGATGGTTTCTTGCCCTCTAAGTCCATTGGGCATTGGCAAAGGTGGGAGAAAAGAAATCACATCATTTTCTTACCCACTGATTGTTATTCCCCCTTTTTAGGGATCTTCATCTTATCCTTTCGGGATATGATCTTATTTCCTTCTAAGGGGGGATCTTGGTGCACCTTGACCAGGGGTGTGGGGCCTTGCCCCCACTACCCACGTTCATGTGGGCCCCCCATGCAGGTGGGCCCCACTCCGGAAACTTCTAGAACCTTCGGTACAATACCCAAAAATCCCGAACATTTTTCGGTGGCCAAAATAGGACTTCCCATATATAAATCTTTACCTCCGGACTATTCCGGAACTTCTCGTGACGTCCGGGATCTCATCCGAGACTCCGAACAACATTCGGTAACTACACACTAATTCCCATAACAACTCTAGTGTCACCGAACCTTAAGTGTGTAGACCCTACGGGTTCGGGAATCATGCAGACATGGCCGAGACAGCTCTCTGGCCAATAATCAACAGCGGGATCTGGATACCCATGTTGGCTCCCACATATTTCATGATGATCTCATCGGATGAACCACGATGTCAAGGATTCAAGCAATCCCACATACAATTCCTTTTGTCAATCGGTACGTTACTTGCCCGAGATTCGACCGTCGGTATCCCAATACCTCGTTCAATCTCGTTACCAGCAAGTCGCTTTACTCGTTCCGTAATGCATGATCCCGTGACTAGCTACTTAGTCACATTAAGCTCATTATGATGATGCATTATCGAGTGGGCCTAGAGATACCTCTCCGTCACAAGGAGTGACAAATCTCAGTCTCAATTCGTGCCAACCCAATAGACACTTTCGGAGATACCCGTAGTGCACCTTTATAGCCACTCAGTTACGTTGTGACGTTTGGCACACCCAAAGCATTCCTACGGTATCCGGGAGTTGCACAATCTCATGGTCTAAGAAAATGATACTTGACACCAGAAAAGCTTTTAGCAAACCAACTACACGATCTTGTGCTATGCTTAGGATTGGGTCTTGTCCATCACATCATTTTCCTAATGATGTGATCCTGTTATGAATGACATTCAGTGTCCATGGTCAGGAAACCATAACCATCTAGTGATCAACGAGCTAGTCAACTAGAGGCTCACTAGGGACATGTTGTGGTCTATGTATTCACACATGTATTACGGTTTCCAGGTAATACAATTATAACATAAACAATAGACAATTATCATGAACAAGGAAATATAATAATAACCATTTTATTATTGCCTCTATGGCATATTTCCAACAGAAGCAACATCGACTTCTTTAGACTCGAAGAAGAAAGAAGGATGCAAGATCGAACCTCCTTCACAGATCAACAATGAGTGCATCGAGAAGACCCTAACCCAACTCAAGGGAGCAGTTATGGAAGTTGGATATCTTCTAAATTTTTACTAGTCAAAATGTAATGATGTATTTTTATATATCAAAAATGAATGATGAAAAAAAGTTAAGGACTTGCAAAGAAAAATATACGCGGACAGGATGCGGCTGGGATACGTCTGTGCGTTGGGCGCACGGCCACCGCATCCTAGAAACTGCCCAGACACGACTCTATTGCCCTACCAAGCGGACAGAATCCAGGCAAAACGAACGTCCGTTTGGGATCGCATGATGGGCTTGGTCTAATAACACGACGCATCCTCGACTTCCCCCGCTACTGAATTTTCAAAAGCGAAACTAACAAGGAGCCGTGGCAACAGAACCGAAAGATCCGAAAATCACATGACGCCGGCGCTGGCAGCTCGACGGTAAACGCGAGCGAACAAACAGCCAAGCTCGAGCCAGCGAAGTGTACAAGGGGCGGTTGAGCAACCCAGCGTGGCAGTCGTCCCCCGCTAAACATAACGCCACGCCGGAGCCGCTCGCTGCCCCACTCCTCTCCCACCTCCCACTCTTCCAATCCTATCCCCTTTGCTTCTCGCGTGGGAGTTGGGATTCCTCTCTTCGGCAGCCATCTTATTTAGTTCGAGCATGGTGCCGTCCCGGATCCGCTTCGCCCGCCAAATCCCCATCCCCTGCTGCTCTGACACCGAGGAGGAGGAGGAGGAGGAGGAGGAAGGGGAAGAGGAGGAGGAGGAGCCATACGAGGGGGAGGAAGAGGTGCCGGTCGCGTCGCCGCTGATACTGCCGGCGGCGAGGGGAGGGGTTTCCGTGGTGGATATGGTGGCGGCGGCGCTGCGGAGGTCGCTGCTGCTGTGCAGCAGCGTGCGCGCCGAGGAAGGCGCCGGCACCGCGGCTGCGGGGATGCAGATAGGGCAGCCCACGGAGGTGCGCCACGTCTCGCACGTCACCTTCGACCGCTTCGTCGGCTTCCTCGGCCTCCCGGCCGACCTCGAGCCCGAGGTGCCGCGCCCCGCGCCCAGCGCCAGGTCAGTCCGCCGCTCCGCCACCTGCGTTGTGCCTCTTGCGTTCCGTAGATTTGCATATGATTTTCGTGGCTGGTCTCTGTGCTTTGGATTCCATCCCTGTAGAATTTGCGGCGTTGCATTTGTGAATTATAAGCTGAATTTGAAGGTTGTTTGCATTTCTCATGTTTGAATTAGTTAAGTCACGTGATGCCCAGCTAATTTGGTCCACCTAACTAAGAAAAACTGGGCACGGAGTAGTAGCTGTTAGTCCGTTGAGCCTTAAGATTGGCTTGGCTTTATCCCAGTGGTTGAGACAATGGGGGCTCCCCCAGTCTGAGGGCAGTTTGTGGGATTTGAGGCGCCCGGACCGGTCCGGACTGATTTGGTGAGCCCCGTTGGATGGCTAAAAGTGCCCAGACCTCTGGAACGGACATTTGCAGGCGTTTTGGTGATCGACCTTGGAGATGCCCTTACTCACCACCTACAAGTTCCATTGTCCTGTTACCGTTGTATCTGATGTAGTATATACCTTTCAATTTTTGAGGAATTATATGAGTTCAACACCTTGTTCAAATAAATATATACTCCCTCCGTCCTAGAGTAAGTGTCTTAACTTTGTACTAAGTTATAAAGTTATACTCCCTCCGTTCCTAAATATTTGTCTTTCTAGGGATTTCAATAAGTGACTACATACGTTGCAAAATGAGTGAATCTGAACTCTAAAATATGTCAATATACATCTGTATGTGATAGTCTATTTGAAATCTTCAAAAAGACAAATATTTAGGAACGGAGGGAGTACGTACTAAGATTGAGACACTTATTTTGGGACGGAGGGAGTATGAGTTTAACACATTCAACCTCCAGTTAAGTTAATGTTTGTTAGAACATTGGACCATGCGTTATATCTATTGAACTGTAACACAGTTTATGTTTACTAAATATATTTCTCTGCAGTGTAAGTGTATTTGGAGTTTCACCAACGTCCATGCAATGCTCGTTTGATAAAAGAGGAAACAGTGTACCAACAATACTATTGACCATGCAAAGGAAGCTCTATTTACTTGGGGGCCTTCAGGTAAACCCAAGGATAATGAGAAAAGCTTTCAAATAATTTTGTGATACTCAAGTAAAAAAAATATTTGTCTTGTTTTGCTAGGCTGAAGGGATCTTCAGAATAAATGCTGACAATAGACAGGAACAGCATGTCAGGGAGCAACTAGATAGAGGTGTTGTTCCAGACGGAGTTGACTTGCATTGTCTTGCAGGCCTTATAAAGGTGCACTGAACATTTTGTTTAACCATTACGAACGTTTCTTTGTTTACCTTCATTTTTTTTTTTCAAATGGAACGTAGGTCTTCCATGCCTAAGGACAACATTCTTTTTTTGTGATTTTGACTGTCTTGAACTGGATCATTTTTTTTATGTAATTTGAAAATGTAGAGAGCCTTCCAATATGAGAGTTCAGGTGTAGTCAAGAATCAGTATGCACAGTGATACAATGCATAAACTTTCTTTGAATAAATTTACTTCGAAGAAATCTATAGGGAAATGACCTTTTTTTTTAATTTTTTCCCTTTTATTTATCAGTTGCTTCACATTTCATGATCAATATGGCTGCTGATTTGTAGGCATGGTTCCGAGAACTTCCAAGTGGAGTATTAGACTCGTTGACTCCAGAACAAGTGATGCATTGCAACACTGAAGAAGAGTGTTCTCGTGTTGCGAGTATTGTTCCTCCAGTGGAAGCAGCATTACTGGATTGGGCCATTAATCTGATGGCAGATGTTGTGGAGCATGAAAACTACAACAAGATGAATGCTCGCAACGTTGCTATGGTTTTCGCGCCAAACATGACCCAGGTTATTAGGAAGCTTTATTAATATTCTCGATATACGTATTTTCGGATTCGCAGCCTAACCATATGACTTACCCCTTATCATATATTCTCTCTCTCTTTCAGATGGCCGATCCCTTAACTGCTTTGATACATGCAGTTCAAGTGATGAATTTTTTGAAGACATTGATCCTGAAGACTGTCAAAGAAAGGGAGGAGGCAGCTGCCGCAACAAGGGAATTCACGTCCAGCTCTGGTTCCCCGAGTGACAGAGATGCACCTCAGGCATTAAATCATATGGAGAACCCCTTAAATTGTTCGAGTCAGGAAAATGTCGAACGCCCCATGATTAGTGGGGCTACTCTTGACCACTTTCTCTTCAGCGTAGAACAAGCGCTTCACCAAGACGCGCAAGCCAGTATCGGAGAACCCAAGAAGTATGACACCGGTACAGCCCATGACAAATACAATGACAAATTTTCTCCTGTGGACAGTGATTTTAGTAGTAGCCAAGATGACAGCAGTTCTGGAAATAAATTCAGTAATGACAATGTGGAAGGTTTGTTTGACAGATTCAAATTTAGGAAAGGGGTAGGCAGACTCTGCAGGCATCCAGTGTTTCAGTTGAGTAGGTCCATGAAGAAGTCCGATGAAGCAGGACAAGCTTGTGCATGACATGGTAGGATGTGTAATTGATGATTCCGCTAGTTTTGCAGCTGTCTAGCGCTTAACTCATACGCCATTTCTCCTAGTTCGTCTGTAGAAGCTATAAGCCCATTTGATTGTACTAGTACTGAACTGCTGATGTGGAGTTCTTGGCTTGTACAGTATAGTTCAATTATATCGTACCAGCATCCTGTTGTTTGAAAAGATGAATGTATCTATTATTTGAGCCAAGAGAGGTCGCCTGAGTTTAAAAAGGACTTCTACTTTTTTTTTGAGGGAAAACCATCATAGCTAGGTTTATTGATCTCATAACATCATTACATCTTCCACGAGCTTATTGATTCGCCGTTTTGGAAGGGGCTTATGAGAGTCAAGGCAACCTTCTTTAATAGAACAAAGTTTATTGTCGGTGATGGCAATGATACACGTTTCTGGGAGGACATTTGGCTGGGTGATACACCATTAGCACTACAGTACCCAACCTTGTATCGTATTGTCCAGCGACATGATGCGCTAGTTGCAACGATTATGCAGTCCATTCCCCTTAATATTCAGTTTCGGCTGGTGCTTGTTGGTGAGAGATGGGAAGCTTGGCTCCATCTGGTGTGTAGACTGATGGAAGTCCAGCTAGCCCGATCAGCTGTGTTGGAAGCTTACTAGAATGGACAATTTACTGTAAAGTCGATGTACATCGATGTCATTAACTCCACTGTCATTCCTAGTACCAAACATGTTTGGAAAGTAAAAGTGCCTTTGAAAATTATAGTGTTTATGTGGTTTGTCCATAAACAGGTAATTTTAACAAAGGACAACTTGGTCAAGCGCAATTGGACTGGATCTATTAGGTGTAGCTTCTGTGATCAGGACGAGACCATTAAGCATCTCTTCCTTGACTATCCTTTGGCGCGAATTCTGTGGCGCACCGTGCAAATTGCTTTTAACATTACTCCTCCGAGTACGGTTGGGTCATTATTTGGAACGTGGCTGGATGGGATAGAGTCCGATACAGCTAGACATATTCGTGTAGGAGTGTATGCGTTGTTATGGGCAATTTGAAACTGCAGAAATAATTTGATTTTTAACAGAATAACTACTATTCATTTTTTGCAGGTTATATTCCGTGCTACGGCGCTGATCCGTATGTGGTCCTTACTCACTCTGACGGAGGCCAGGGAGCGTTTGGTTACTGGATCTGTCCGGTGGAAGATGGTAGCGCGGGATATCTTCAACCGGTTTGGTTGGCGGTCATGTAATAGGATAGGCAATTAGTTTTCCTATCTTTATTTTACCAGCCGATTGTGGCTCTGTGGCCTTTTCTTGGTTTAGCTTCGAGGCTCTCGGTGAGCTCGCCTTTATTTTGTTGAAGACTACATGACTTTGTTGAACCTATTTTATTTATTGAAGTGGCCGCATGCATCGTTCTGATGCAGAGGCCGGGGAGTTCCCCCTTTTCGAAAAAAAGGAGCTTACTGACTAGATTGACTAGATTCAGGTGGCTCATCAGTACAAGTAATAGAGATCTTATTGCAAATAACAATAATTAGCTAGCACATGCGCTGCTTGATTAGCCGAACGAAAAATAATGTTTAAAGGTGACCTTACCAATCAAAGAAGTAATGCCACACCCCACCATCTTGATTGCCAGTGCAGAAATCTATTAAGTTTGGGGAATCGGATTCCGCCTCCACCCAATTAAACCGCAGAAAAATTGAGAAATTCAGTCCATCTCTCGTGGCCATCGCCTCAGTGGTAATGACGTCTGTAGCAAAAGGGGTGACCATGCAAGTAGCAGCATTTTCTTACCTTTCTCGTCTCTTAAGTCGGCCGCCGTTGCACCCACTCATTCATCATCGCAGTAGGTTGCATCAATATTAAACATTATAGACTACAGTTCTGGCTTACTCTATTAGTACTCGGGGGGAAACTTTGTACTCCCTTCGTTCTTTTTCTTAGAAAAGGAGGATGACCCTGGCCTCTGTATCTCGGAGATGCATGCAACCACTTTATTAATTATCCATAAAGACCTTACAAAGTAATACATCAACATGTTTGAAGCCATCATCTTGGCAACATATGTCGCTACTCATATCCATTGATGAAGGGGTGCAGAAAGTGTGAGCCGAATACCCAGACTTCTCACCTGGCCTAACATCTAAAGCCCGAGGCCCCGACCAAGCCACATACCGAGTCTGGGGCACAAACCGGTCCGACGCACTCATAAGTCATCGACGCTGTCTTACATCAATCCATCTTCAGAGCAGATATTGAAACATCGACCTTGCCAGGCCTGCCGTCGACACCCCCATGGCACCAGACACCGCCTCCTCCATACATGCGTCCATCATCACGCATCCGTCGTTGAGACTTTGCCGCGCCTCGCCGCCGAGACTCCACGACGTCGATGCGTCACAATGAACGCCGCTCCACCGCAGATGCCGTCCACTGATCCCTCGAGCCTATGCACACCTCCAAAAATGACGCCATCGAGAGGGGTACGACACGTGAGTGCCCCCGTCATCCGATGAGTCGCCTGTTCTCTCACGAGTCGCCTGTTCCTAAATATAAGTCTTTGTAGAGATTCCACTAATCTTGCTAATGAGAGAATGTCGGACGTCCCTAGCTAATCCAGTACTGAAGGATTCACGAAGTCCTCGAAGGCCTAATAGTTCATAGTCCCACTGGATTGAAGACTTGCCTGATGAGTTCTTCGTCCCACGAGCCAGAGATCGGATCAATGAGGCCATTGACCTTGTTTAAAATAATATGGCCGCGGGGAGTTATAACCTTTCTATACAGGTTTAATGATATCCATGGATCATTCTAGACAATAAAAATCCTCTCCTATACTAATTTTTAGATGTATCCACGTTTAAACGTTTCTAGCCCCTTCAATATACCGTGTCATGCAAAAGGTGAACCATTCCTTAAAACTTGCCTGCAATAGGATCCCATTAGGATAATATTTAGCTTTTAGCATTTCAGCAAGAAAGAGAGTCTGGATTAGTAACCAATCTCCAACATTTCTTTGACAACATTGCGAGATTGAAAGAGTGAAGATCCCAGAATCCCATACCTCTTCACATTTTGGATAACATAGTTTTCGCCAAGAGTATCAATGCATCTTTTTACTCTCATCATCACACCTGAACAAATCTGGGCAATTATATCGGCAATCTCCTTACAAATCCCTTATGGCAAACAAAAAACGACATATAAAAAACTAGGATAGCTTAGGCTACCGCCTTTTAGCAAAATTTCTTTACCTCTAGCAGATAATTGTTTTTCCATCCACCCTTGATTCTCTGTTTGATTCTTTGATAAAGTGCCTCAAACAATCACTCCTATATCGTTCCACCATAGCAGGAAGCCCAAGGTATTTTTCAGAAAGAGCCTCATTATCAATATATAATTGTCGACAAATCTCAGCTCTAGATTGGCATCAGTATTGGGGCTAAAAAATATACTTGATTTTGCCAAACTGGTCCAAACTTTGACGTAGGTATTTAGAACTTGTTGTGGGGAAACTACATTTAAACATCCGCGCTCATAAGAATTAAAGAGTCATCAACAAATAAAATGTGTGATACTGATGGTTCATTTCTGGACACTTGAACTCCCTCGATGCCATCAACTTCTTCATACCGCAACATACTAGAAAACTCTTCTGCACATAGGAGGAAAAGGTAGGGAAAGAGCGGATCTCCTTACCTAATTCCTCTAGTAGGGGGAGAGGATCCATATCTTGAGAATTATATCTGACCTCATATCTCACAGAGCTAACACAAGCCATCATCATCTCTATAAATTGGTCATGAAACCCCAGTTTATCGGATCACATTACATAAGAAGACCCGTGCAACACGATCATAGGCCTTGTGCATATCAAATTTAACTGCACATAAACATGTTTGGCCTCCTCCTTTATTTTTAATTTATGTACACACTCATAAGCAATACTAGATAACGCCCCGCGCGTTGCTGCGGAAATTTTTAGCAACGAACTTATCAAAAATAAAATTAGTATATGGGAATAGTTTCGCACCACATTCAACCTAGAGGTACATGGAGGGTGGATGCATGTTATGTTGTCTTGAAATTCAAGTTCTATTATTTATTGTGGAAAAATAAAAATAAAAATTAATGATGGGAAGGGTTTTCATTTTGATGATGTGAAGGGCTTATATGTGATAGAAAGTGTAAAGTGAAAATAATGTGGAAATTTAAAAAGTTAAATGGTTGCATGGCCGCTTGATGATGTGGAGGGTGTGCATGTCATGGAAAGTGGCATCAAAATAAAAATTCATCGACTCGCAAATAATGAAACAATGAAAGTTACTCTAGATTGCAGTTGCATGGCGTGCTAGGTCTACCATTAGTGTAACGAATACAGATTGAAGTGGTTACCATATAGACATGAATATTTAAAAGAAAACATCAGGCCGGCCTATATAATAAAAGAAAATAATGTGAACAAAAATTGGATCGAGGACTGTGGACATTAAAAAAACATAACCTCTAATCTGCTGCTGTCAAAACATATAATATGTATTACTTGTTACCCTCGTAGTATAGAATCCATAGATTTTTCTAATGTCACCCTCCTAATTAAAAATGTTTCTTCTATCAAGGGGTCACTATCCGCTATAACAGCAAAGATTCTTTTTCCAGAAAAGTACTGCACGGTTTCATTACAACATGTCCATGAGTGACAATACTACACGCACGTACAGTACCGATGCATACACATACGGTACATACCACGAAGGACAGCTGTTCAAGCCATTTGCGCAGAGCTCCATCAAAGTATGCACCTTACAGCCCGGTACCTGGGGAAGCTCTAGCTCAACCAAGCTTTGCGGCACGGCGCCTGGCCAATTTACGCTGTCACCGGTGCGCATGTCAGAGCAGGGACAAAAAATGGACACTGCGGCCATGAGCAGCACCATGAGAAGTTTTTTCAGGCCACAAGAATTACCGGAACAAATGAGGATGTTTTCCACTTGACGAAC